AAACCCTGAAGCATTCTCATGAGGCCCTCACGTCCCCCTCAAACCTAAAACCATCTAAAGATGTAGCCCTTCACGACCCTCCCTCGTCTTGAATTCGCAGCGGCTGGATTTGGGCATAGGCGCCAAGGGCTGCGGCCACGGTCCTTGGAACTGCGGCCTCTACCTCATCCCTTGCTCCACGAGTTGAACTTCAGCAGCTTAGCGGAGTTTGAAGACATGAACAAACTATCAAGAGCCCTAGTGTTCTAATGTTGCTTTACCATAGCTGAGCAATCACAAACTCTATATTGAGATTAAACTCAAGGCATCCCTCAACACCACTTGCTTCGCAAGGTCCGCCATGCCAGCCGCGAGCATTCTCTGGAGGTTTCGGGCTCGCGCAGCTCCTAGGTTGGCCAGAGGCTCACTGAGGGATTAACCTGAGAACCGCCTTTGAGCATAGAGTAGATAGAGATTCTTCAGTGAAAGGTAGGGAATCTGTGAACTACATCGAACTGCTACTCCATGGCTTGGGTCAACTCCCGAACTTTGGCCTCATTTTGGCCAAGGCCTGATGTCCACCTTAATTAATAGTGGTAAAATTTGAAACGTAAATGTCAAGATGAGCTGATTCTGCCACCAAAGCTCCGAGATTTCGTCGAGTGCCAGCGCTGCAGCCTCCGCAGTGCTGAAGCCCCAGCGCTCGTCCTGGGGGCCGACTCGTGACAGGCCCTGCCGTGCCATCTGATGAATCACAGAGCTGATGCCAAGGCAAGCCCCTATAAACCGAATTTCGAACCCGTGCTGAGGCCGAGGCGTGTGACGGGAAAGTGGCTGCCCCTAAACCCTAAACCCTAAACCCTAAAACCCTAAACCCTAAACCCTAAACCCTAAACCTAAACCCTAAACCCTAAACCCTAAACCCTAAATCCGAAGCTGCGGGGGTCCTCACTGGCGTCGAGGCCCTCCGCAGCTTCCGGCTCGCGCGCGGCCCCAAGTAACAGCGGCTTCCGGACCTCGTTCTGACGACATAAACCTGACGCCTTGGGATCTTCCCCCTTATACTAGAGGGTTTTTTGTTTTTTTTTTTGGGGGGGGGGGGGGTTTAGGGTTTAGGGTTTAGGGTTTAGGGTTTAGGGTTGAGGGTTGAGGGTTGAGGGTTGAGGGTTTAGGGTTTAGGGTTTAGGGTTTAGGGTGTAGGGTGTAGGGTGTAGGGTGTAGCGTGTAGGGTGTAGGGTGTAAGGGTGTAGGGTGTAGGGTGTAGGGTGTAGGGTGTAGGGTGTAGGGTGTAGGGTGTAGGGTGTAGGGTTTAAGGTTTAGGGTTTAGGGTTTAGGGTTTAGGGATGGGATGTTCCCCCTTATACTTGCAGTCCTTAGTGGGTATGATAATAGGGGGTACTCGAATCCCTAGCAAGGACTGTTAGTATAAGGGTGAACATCCCAACTGGCACCCTGTAAACCCCAAACCTTAATATTTATAACCCCCCCTACACCCCAATATTAGATACCCCGCCATATCTTCTTCCCTAGAAAAGGAGTATTTAATATTGGGGGGTAGGGGGGGGGGTTATCTTAGGGGGAGGGATAAAACGCCAAACCCTAACGTTTGGGAGCCAGGTGCTCGAAGCGCACCAGTGCTTCAGGCCACCTCTCGATCTTCTGAATGTTCAATGTCCCCGAAGCTGCCCCCAAGAGGACCCAACACCTCTCACCCAGCCGGGCAAGGCACCACAAAAACGGGGCGGGTGCCAGCTGGCGGGTTCAGCTCCACGCGCTGTATCCTTAGTCTCTTGCGTGAGCACTGCATGGGACAAGATGACCTCTAGTCTTCATATTGCGCTTGAGCCCTGAAATCAGGCATCTTCGGCTCAATGCGATCTTCAAAAGTACATTGTTGCGGAAACAATGGGCAGCCCGTCAGCCCGGTGTCCGTGACAGCGGGTCTGCAGATTCCGACACGGCGGCCATCTCGCCTGCCATGAACGACTTCAGCTGATAGCTGGGAGGGGTACATCGGAAGCCTTCCAGATATTCCTAAACGGCCTCTGTTATCTTCATGACGTACTGGTGGCAGAGCAAGTGCTGTGTGACTTCCAGGGTTGTCGTACTAGGCTCGTTGTCAAGCCGTCTTCTGGCATCTTGCAGTCAGGGGGCGAGCAAAGCGCCACGTTGCATCCACCAGGATCAGGTGCCGCACCCTCGCGTCGAGAACCTCCTCCGAAACTTTCTAGACTGGGGGCCTTGTTTTGAGACCCATCCATGCGCACATCCAAGAAGTCCTTCAACGGCCGCGCGCCCGGCCCAGGGAAAAGAAGCAGGCAGCTTTCGGGCTCCCTGTACCTGAGCTCTCAAATGCAATTCGGGGATACGCCGCGGTGGACGGAGTAAGCGCAGGAAAGGTGCAAGTGTTCCAGCCCGATGGTCACCTCGGACGGCAGCCTCCGCGTCACATGTTGCCTCCCAGGGGGTCTTCGCCACACAGCCCCCCACAACCCCCAAACCCAAGACCTCACGCCGCTGACACAGCGCTCCAGAATCCAGGCACTCTGGTGCTTCTGCCGCCGTTCTTTCGGGTGGCGGAGGAGCAGCACCTCGGTGGAGCCAGCTCAAAGCTCGGAGTGATGCAAGGCTACATGCGAGAGTCTCTTGCGTTCTGGGCTTGGGACCCTTATAAGGGGCTCAAGATGACAGGTGGCCAAAGCATGCCACCAACTCGAAGACCCCAATACTTCCCGGAAGCCCAAGATCGAAGGGCCAAAAACGACTCCCAAACTCAGTTGCAAGTAGCAATCTCTGAAGCCTACGCGATAGGCCTGTAACCCCAGATTCTTAACTCCCTTACGCGGCAGGCCCTTTCGGGATCTTTTGGGTGCCTAACTGAGCTCTAAAGATCCGTTTCCCAAGCCCAAGCCCCCCAGGAAAGGCACGCTCTCCAGCCCCCGGGGCAGCGCCAGCGGCTCTGGTGGTAGACTCGCGCAAATGCCTCACAATCGGATGTAGGCATTGAGAGACGCCTTTTATTCACAACAGAAAACAGTGGCAAACTACTCAGAAGACCTGCGAGTAGCAAGTGCCACTTCCAAGACTTAGTTGCCCCCCGCTCCCAGGGTCCTGAACTAGACAGACCCACAGATCTAGAACAACCCCCGGGTGTCTATCAGGAAGTGGCAGAAGTGGCGGAGACAATGCGGATGTACTGCTTGAGGGGTTGCGGGGACTCTACCGGAATGCTGGAGGGATCCGCTCGTAAGGGAACCGCAACCCCGGCGCAGGCGCGCAGCGGCCGGCTGCAACCCGCACACATGGGTCGTCCCGCAGCGCCGCGCCCAGACCTTTGATTTGGCGATTGATTGACAGTGCCATGCATCATGCCGTCTGCCCCGTGAAGACTCGCGCGACCCAACTCTGCTACCCGCCTAGCTTGGACTGCGCCACCGGTTTTGGCACGGTGATGAAAGGTTCCAGGTTTCCACGCTCTTGCACGAGGCAGGCAAGGGGTCAAGGTTTGTGTTGGCCATCCCGTTGTTGGGGCCGGGGCCTCTACATCATCCAGGAAATCAACGCAGCATGGTGAAAGCACGCTGCGATGAGCCGGTGTCATCAGTTGAGTAAAGAAGGAAAGCACCGGACGAATTGCTTCATGGTGACCTGGTCACGGGCTTGCGAAGTCATCCCAAGCTCGTAAACCCCCGAACCCAGGTTCGTAAGAAACTCTGGTTCGCGAATGTATATAACCCTTTCTCCCAAAACCTGCCCTCCGAACTAAAACTCAAGCCTATAAAGCCCAGGCCCAAGCGGCGGTGAGAGATCCGAGTCCGCCCCTTCCAGCTTCGGCTCCGCAGGTTCTGGCCCGTCCATGTCACGCCCTGGGCAGCACAAGGCGTCAAATGCGGTCATAAGAGGGCTGTTCCCACGTCCGCGGGCGATATCACGATTCCGAAAACCCTCGCAGATCCGCAACATCTCTGGCAAACGGCGTTCGAGGCCCTCTCTGCGCATGGCCATGTCTCTGTAGACCTGTGAATGTTAGTCCTGGCCTCAAGGGAAGCTGCTCGAAGCTTAATTGGGCTGGAGAACATCTCTTGGCACACCGGTACAGACTGGACATCACACGTCGGCAAGCTCTGGAATCTAAACCCTGGACGCAAATACAAAGCGATGACGCGGCAGGTGCTCTTGGGACTGTCGACGTCGGGTGGCAAAGCTGCAGCAAGGAGTTTGGATGAGCCGGCCAACCGCGGAGGTAGTGACAGAAGCACAGCCATGGCCCTGTCCATTCCCCAACAGTGTGAGATCCAGTTCTCCGGACAAAGGCAGAATGCCATCTACTGCTCGTGTATGTGGCTTTTGTTTTTGGAGTTTGTGAGGGGTCTTGACACTTTTTTTGTGGGGTACAAAAAAAGGCCATACCGTCCAAGATCTGCTCTAATCAAAATAAGACACGACGCCCAGCCTCAGCTCATAATTTCCCGAACCCACTCATGTCACATCCCGTAGCCTGTGCTCTGCACATGAAAGCCGTGCTCAAGGGCATGAAACTTCATGATGCAACACGACGATGGACAATTGACCATGATTCTGATGTGACTGAGGCACTCCTTGGGCAGGAGACTCTTGCAAACTGTGAGCAATAAACGGCAAGTAGAGTGCAGAAGAAGGCAGGTGCCGTCGGATCAGGTGTCAGACATTGTAGAACCACGCGCAAGGGTCGGTGACGCCTTGACGTAAACCCTGAATATGCTGACTGTCTCAACCACTTCACAGCATCCCACACCGCGTGACACACAGCTTCCGCGATGTAGATCCTCAGAATTCCGAACTACTGCCACTCGACGAAGGCGAAGGGATCCCCAACATCCCGAAACGGCCAACCATCACACGTTGCCTATCTCAGATACATCGGGCCGGAGAGTCTACATCTGAGAAACTACTTGAAGGTTCATGGTACTTAATAACCTAAGTACAGTTATAAATTGGTTAATAAGTACCATGAACCTCCAAGTACAACACAACTAGCGGGCCTCAGTGACGAGCAGCGGGCCCTCCTCCTCCTGCCATCCAAGGTCTACCCTTGAGGTGCCAACCTTCCTGGATGCCACTTTGGCCAGAACATGGAATCAAGTATCACCAACTCTCAAGAACAGATCCTTGCCCTCCCAAAGCGCCTGCATCAGGAGTCCCGTCGCACTGGTGCAAGTGCCTGGCCTGATCGCGGAATTCACAACCACATTGCCAAGTGGCCTGTTGTCAAGGGCCTTGACATGTGGGTCTCTGGAGAATCTTGCAGCTACTGCGATTTACTACCCCCAAAAGAATTCCAAACCCGAGAAGGAAGGGTCCAGGACCGGGTAACAGGCGACGAGTCTTCATCATGGCCAAGCCCGGCTCCCCGTGGCCTCAACTCAGAAGCAGGAAACTTTAGGGTTTAGGGTTTAGGGTTTAGGGTTTAGGGTTTAGGGTTTAGGGTTTAGGGTTTAGGGTTTAGGGTTTAGGGTTTAGGGTTTAGGGTTTAGGGTTTAGGTCACTCCTCAAGCATAGGGTTCTCTTGATGTGGCCAGTCCGGTTGGAGACCTTATGGTCACTGTTCATGCAAGCAGGTTCCTTCAGCAACCTTCAGTTGCTCTGATGAGGATCCCCTTCGAAAAAAAAAAAGATGCCAAGATTGGACCTCCAGCTACGAGCCCATGAACTCAAACCGCATAATTCCCCTACTGCCGCCAAGCACTGGTAAGTCGCGTGGCTCTCTGAGGCCGACACAGGCGGAAAGCAGCCCCGAGTGGGACGTTTAGGTTGGATGCCTTGGCGTGGCTTCAGGGATGGCACGGTGCGGGAAGCCAAGGTGCTGTACGCAGTACTGAGAGCACAAGAACAGAAGATGCCCCCACTCAACCCTCAAAGCGTCAGTCCTTGTCAGCCAGCAATCCCTGATTTGCTGGTACTTAAAACAATTTCTGGCCTTCCAAAGGGTTCTACCGTTTTCGCTGTTACCACGACTCCTATGCCGCTGCTACTGCTTCTGCATCATCAGGCAAAGCGCACAGGAAACTGCGAGTTGTCACCCAGAAACCAAAGGTCCCTGAAACACCGAAGCCACAGAAGGAATGAGAGGAGCCGTGCCTGCCAAGTCTGGCCTCGTGCAGAAGGCCTGGGCTGAGGGTTTATGGTCTAGGGTTTCGGGTCTTCTGCTTTTTTTTGGGTGGGTTTGAGGTGAGGGTTCGCGTTTAGGGGGCTTTCAGCTTTCAAGCTCACGGGGGTGCATGAGTGTTGCCAAGCAAGCTGGTGAGACTTAATTAGCAGAGACCAAGCATTTACAGTCAGGGTAGGGCATGCCCGTTTTGGGTTATTACATCACCGTGAACATATATAGCCGTATAAATCATGCGAAAGTCCGAGGAGGCACGCGACACCACAAAGCCTGCAAGAGCCAGGGAAAAGTCTCGTATGTCGCGAATGTCAACTGTCTTGTTGGGCTGAGCATGCATTGCCCATTGTATCACAGCTCGAAGCTGCGGCAACGCTTTCAGTAGGGTCGGTGGCACGCAGAGCCGCCTCCCGCAACTCACTGGCATTGCCTTGCTCGCCACTGTGTTGACAAGAATCTTGAACAAGCAGCTCTAACAATCATGATTCAATCAAAGCGGCAGCACTGCGTCCAATGAACTGGTTTCCTCCATCGTGATTGGATGTGCCAGTGACTGCGGATGCCTTTTGCGGAAAAGGCGGCTACAAGCAAGCACACACACACACACACAAAGCTTCTGAAACTCCCCAGCCTGTGGCAACAGGATGAAGTCTGTCGGCGCCAAGCAGAAACAAGCTGCTGCACAAATCGCGCAAAACAATGGCAAACTTCCTTTGCGGCGTCGCATGGCCATCGCTGCAGGGCAGGAAATGCACAAAAACATCAGAAGTTCTCCGTGCGTTGGGATTAGAAGATAATGCCCCAACTTCATAAACGTGGCAACCCCCTTGGAAAGAGGTGAATGTCAACATGTCCAACACTTTTGAAAACATCATGCGACAAAGACATTCCAACTGCATTCGCCCACAAGCCCTATCAGCCCCGGCATTTTGGAACAAACAACCAACGCCCCATACTATTCCCCATAAAATGAATAAACCTAACCTTGCCCGTTTCGGGATGTTACATCACCTGATAAATAGGATGAGATAGAGTATTTTAAGGATAATGGGCTACTAGTTGTGATTTATATGGCTATATATGTTCACGGTGATGTAATAACCCAAAACGGGCATGCCCTACCCTGACTTCTACATGGGCTTCAGGGTCGCAAGCACTAGGCCGTCGTGGGAGCTCGGAAGTCGGAAGCGTTGGTTTAGGGTTTAGGGTTTAGGGTTTAGGGTTTAGGGTTTAGGGTTTAGGGTTTAGGGTTTAGGGTTTAGGGTTTAGGGTTTAGGGTTTAGGGGGCTAAGGGGGCTTAGGGGGGTTTCAGCCCATGATGATGCAGGATGGCGCAGGCACTTTTTCGAGGCGGCGAGTCAATGACTGCGCTTGTTGTGATGTCCCTGGCGGCATCACACCTCTCGTTGGACACCGGGCATTCGACGACTTCATTGAAGGACGTCGGCGATCTACTGCACCAAGGCTCAGATTGAAATGGTGCACGCGGCTAGTCGACCAGCTTTTGATAAGCCTTGGCGAAAGCGGTGAAAAACGCCGCTTCGTCCGCTGCAAAGGTTTCGACCTGGACTTCTAGAGAATAAACGCTTTTGTCTTTCTACTTGCCCTTGCTCAGAACCCTAACCCTAACCCACATCAGTCGCAACCTCAGACCACCAAAACCTCAAGCTGCCACTCCTACAGTACTTAGGTGAGTTCAAGCTTGCAAAGCTTCAGGTTCGGGGTGTCAACCCACTCGCGTAGTTTACATGCAACTGAGGGTTGAGAGTTTGCCGGGACCTGGCGGTGGAGCCCTGGGTCGAAGAGCAGCCCGATGTCCGAGGGGAGCAGGTAGAGGGGTGAGCTCCTTTCTGATCGCTCCTGCTGCTGCTTCATGTGGGTGGGGGGGGGGGGTGTGGGTGGGGGCAGGGTAGTGGCAAACCCTAAACCCTAAACCCTGAACCCTAAACCCTACTAGGACACCTTGTTTACTGGGCAACTGAACCAGCTGCACTCTGAGAAACAGTTTCCTTGTAGCGCGTCTTAGGCTTTGGCATCTTCTGCCGCTGCTCCCAAAGGAGGACCTGCAAAGACGCTTCGGTTTTGCAGATGAGGCTGTTATTGTTGCCAGTCGCCAGGCTTTGCATTCACTAACAGCGTCCTCCTCAACAAGTCAGAAGCCTTTTGCTCCGGCCATCTTTTCTCATGCACTCATGCTTGGGCTTGATCCCAATGACACAGCTGCAAGCCTGCAGCAAAGAAAACAATGCCAATCGGATGGTTTGTCTTGCTAGGCCTGACAGGATGTGTGCATAATTAGTTGCATCGTGCTGCCGGCGGGTGGGGATCCATCCAAGCGCACCACTACCAACACTGCACCCACTTTTATGTCTAATCTACACTCATAATACTTAGAGCGACCTTTCCTTTGGTGGTGGCCGGGGGGAGGGGGGCTCTTGCAAAGGCTTGGATACCTTTGCAAGATCTTGCAAGGCATGCCCCAGGCCCAGCATGACTCTCAAACGTGGCCCGGGCTGCCCCGGCCATTGATGAATTAGGTATGCCCGCGTTGCAACATCCGCATCCTGCAGCTGTCACTGGTGGCTGAACTCTGTTGAAACCAGGTTCGAGGGCGTTTACAAGGCACTGATTGTCGCTGCCTACTTCGCCGGAGACATGCGGTTGCGAATGGCATTCACATGCCGGAAGCCAAAACTGATATTTCTTAATCAAGCACATACAGCACAACCACAAACAGCAGTGCAACAACGACTGTTCGCAGGTCTCGCCGGCTCAAATCAAGTCACAGCCTCAGTCTAACCCGAGTCCATGCGCGCCTTAGAAAAGTCGCCGTTGCAAACCAGAACTCCAGGCATCTGGAAAACCATCCTCAGGCTGGGCCGACAAGGGCCCCTTAAAGGTCACCAAGCTCGCGAAAGATGTCAATGCTGGCTACCCTCCTACTGGATCTCGGAATTCCAGGCCACGTGTCAATGTTGCGGATCTTTGAGATTGTGAGGAAGGAAGTTGGGGCTCGGCTTGGGCTTTGGGCAACGGAAGGTCGGGAGACCAACGCCGCGAAGAAGAAGACACGGCTATGTCCACACCATGTCCTGTGCAGTCCAGCGCACGCTCAATGAGTGGCCGTGTGCCTGGCACCCTTGGTCCGTCGAATTCCTGTCCAGTTTAGGGTTTAGGGTTTGACAAACGACATCCTTCTCAAGCGCAGGCAAGAGTCAAAGAGGCTTCCCTTCATGCTCCTCTTCGATCGTCCCGCTTGGCCTTCCAGGCAGCTTCCATTGACCACTGCCTCCAAGCACGTGCGACATTTAACAAGCCTTCCATGCTACACGAAAGAGCAAACTGACGAATGGCAACAGCCGGCAAAATGTGGCCCCGCCCTGTGTCCGATCTCTCCCTCGCCCCCCACTTCCGACTCATCGGCGCGCCGGAATCTCCAATGTAGCCCTGTATCTTCCTGTGCTGCATGAGGCCCCTGTCACTTCACGGCCCCTCTCACGCCGCCTTGGCTGTTTAAAGCCATCGCGCATCCATGACGCCCCGTGCTTCTTCAACAAAACTTTTGCCGCATCACGCTCCCCTCATGGACCCGATCGCACGCCCCCATCCTTCTTCAACAAGAAGACCATTGACTCAATTGACCGCATCAGACCCACACCCCCTCAACGGCCCTGCAAGGCATTTGCCGCATCACATCCCCGTCATCCCGTCACACCCCCCGTCATCTCAAATCCCGCACCCCCCCCCCCCTCAGCTTATAGTGACTAGCCAGGACCGTCCGAGATATTTTGTGAAGAAAGCAACAAGGAACAAAACCATGTTGGACAGCCCATCTTCGCCAGATGGAGGCTTTTCGTGTTTGGTTTTTAGATTCTTGCGTTGAGGGCTCACACACACACCAGCATACAGAGCTGAAGCTGCTGGAAATGGGGCCTTTCCAGCCGCATATGGGGGTTTACGAACAATAAGGGACCACGAATATACACCACCAAATCGTAGTATTCCCTCAAGATAAGGACCCCAATAAGGGACCCCTAATTCGGAAACAGCCATATAGACTCGGCGGCAGGTTTAATCGCTCGCACTCGGTCGGACCAAACGAGGCTTCCACGTCTCAATACAGTCGCTGTACAGGCACGGCGCCCTTCGTCTCCCGAGCACATATCAAAAGAGTCTCAAAACAGCTAGCGATGCGCCCGGCATGGTGTGTGAAACAGTGTGTCCAAAGGATTCACTCAAACCGAAACCTGATTCTCCAGAGAGATAAAGCCATCACAGTCGGCACATCGGCTCCTCACACCCAGCAGAGTAGCAGTGGAAAGCCACACGTAATTCACCCGCTGCTCTTCAGACAGCCGATCATCTTCCTGGCACTGCGACATGTAGATCACACATCGGAAGTGCGAGAAAGTCACGTTTGGGAATCCCAGGCTCGGAACAATCGGCATGGCCTCCTGGTAGTCCAGGGCCCCAAAAGGCTCCTCCGTGTCATGTTGCGCAACTACCGCTGCCACCGTCGTGCATCCAGGTACGCAGGACGTCTCGTTTCTGTGCTTATTCACGCATCTTCGGAACAAGGGCTTCAGTGCTTGGAAAACCGCAAGGCCGTCCGGCGTGCAAATGCTGCTCGAAGTATTCGTACCATTCGTACCATTTGCATCTGGCTCCCCTGCGGAGGCATTTTGGACGACTTCAACAACGCCATCAATGTCGTAGTCTGCAAGGCATGTGAAACGCCCTGTCAACGGGGCGTCCTCGGGATCATACCTCTCCCTCATCAGGCGACTCCAAAAGTCGTATTCTACAGGGTCGAAGCAAACAGGGTTCAGGGTGAATGCCATATAGGAAAGCTGGCTCAAGTCAGCCATCGACCGAGGTATCGTGGTGATGTTTCCGCCAATCCACTGGATCTTCCGTAGATCCGTGGCGGAGGCTAGCAGCGCTGGAAAATGGCTTACCTCCTCGGCAAACATGACAAACACCTGCAGTGCGTATTGGAAGAA